TAAGCACAATCTCCCAGCTTCCTGCGCAGGCAACACATCCACTTCTGTGGAATTCTTGTTAGCTAGATAGGATGCTATATCAAATGTTGTATTTTACAATTATTATTTTACGTACATGGTTTCCAGTGATAATTTATATTATATGTACATGTCTGTTGATAATATATTATAAATACATGTACAGGGTTTCCAGTAATGAATTACATTATATCTACAGGACTTTGTGCTACCATTGTAAATGCCCAGAACAATGTAGGCGATACACCTGTCCACATCATGGCCGAGAATGATCGTACCTTAAATATTGTTAAGATGATGGTGGACCTTGGTAAGGTGGACTTCAATCTTACCAATAGTAAGGTAGGTATTTACCCATTGACTCAAATGCAGGGGTGCATGTTTAGGTATTTAAACTACACTGAACTGAATTTCATCTTCAACTGATGGTTACCTCCCCCAAATGTGTATGAATTGTTGATTTTTTTTTGCAAGAACTTTCTGTCAATAATAGAGATGGCTTCAAGATGGCTGCGAGAGAAAAATGGCTGAACGTAAAAATAAACAACTGCAGTCTCTGAGATTCAATTACAGTAGAAGTATAGCAATTTTGTTAAGTGTAATTTTCCAAAGAATTTTGATTGCATTTTCCTTTAAATTTTTTCAGAATCAGAATGCTCTGCAAGTTGCTATTGCTCTGGGCCAGATGAAGACAGCAAAATATCTACATCAGCTGATTGAAAGTGCCCCCAAAAAGCGAAATGGCTCAATTACGTATGTTTCAATTATTCCAAAATATCCATCAGCTGAACAAACGTCTGTGAATGACAGTGACAATAATGATTGCTCTCCTGATTCAACGAAAAAAAACAGGGGGCAAAGAAAAGCAAAGAAAATCGTTAGCACCTCAGCAATAGCCTGCAAAGTGACCAGTACAGAAGACAGTGCGGAGGAATCACCTGAAAATAACTCTGATCTGTGCTTGAATAGTGCTTCAACGACAAGTGAGATTGAAGAAGAAGCTGTTGATGGTACTTCTCTGGCTTCAAATCCGACAACAGACTCTCCATCATCAACTTCACTTTCTTCAACTGTTGAACAATCCTCCATTCCCACAGAAAATCCCTCCAACAATTTGGGCAAAAGGTTAAATTCAGCGATGCCAGCCAAGTCACAAACCACTAAACTAACCGGAAAAGTTTTACCTAATGTGTGTTCCTCTGCTCCTTTAGCGTCATCATCTTCGTCCTCATCTGAGGCCTCCACTTCTGCCTCCACTTCCGCCTCTGCTGTTCCCCCCAAGGAACCTGCTGTTGCTCCTGTCACTAATCCCTCATCAGACCCCGTTACTGCAACCTCTTCATCTTACTCCCTGCTGTCCGATAAAAACTGCGGCCCTTCACCAGCAAAAAGGAAGAAAATGAGAGTACTTGTAGTAAAAAAAGGTCCATTTCCAACCAGTCAGATGATATTTACCGACCAAGTACAATTCACACCCAAAGTTCCCAAGGTGACTAGTTCCAGAAGCCTGCTTAGAAGTGAGAGGATTCCTAATAAACCCATTCAGGAGGATGTTGAGGACACCGCCGATTGTGAGCAGCTCAGCAACATCAAGGTACTTTTGTTTTTATAATTTATCGTAATCTGTTACAATTACTTCAACACATTTCTAGCTGACCTGGGCAAAAAGAACTTGTGCTGTGTGGAGCAGTGTCCGACATCAACCTCTTTCTTTAAACAACTTCTTCCCAATAACGTATAGGCTTAGAATGATGGTATTTTGCCAATAGCAAGCTTGCTTGGATGAAGGGCTACTAAGTTTGTTCAATTGAATTACCCTGACCCCCTTCAAGGTCACTGGGGTCTAATATGTTAAAATAATTAATCAACTTATTCAGAATAAGCAAAAAGCCCAGAAATTATTTATAAAAGCTAAATATTATTTGTAATCATATTCTATTTGTTACAGGTAGAAATGGATATTGCCCAAGATGATGAAATGTGTCCAGATAGCAACACAAGCAGGTCTGTTCCCGAATTTATATTAGATACACATATGTAATGCCTAATGGCCAGGTGAGTCGTAAGGCCTGTTATATAATTAACAGCTTGTGTGGCGAATGACATGTGAACACTTTTTTAGTCCCCCACTGGTTTATTTGACCTTTACTTTTGAAAATGTTTGTCCAGGGCATATCTTCTA